CGACGTAAGCTGTGTACAAAATAATAATATGTCAAATTTCTATCATTATTAACTCTCTACTCTCGACCGATTTCGACCACGACGACCAATTTCACTGAAACTAGCCAACTGCGCAGGAGATATGCACAAGTGCACGCACAGATACCAGTGCACTCTCTATTACTGTTACTCTTAAATGTCGATGGGACGATATTCCGGTACGACCGGTGAGAGATCAGGCGCAGGACCGACTGCTTTACGTCTTCTCCGAAGCACGGGAAACACCGTCAAATTCTCGACTCCAGGCTTGTATCGGGAAGTTAAAAGAAAGACTCAATAACTAAACTTGGCCCGACTCAGGACTCTCCAACTCAGGACCTTCGGATGTGCAAGCTTTATATGCTAGCCACTACACTGCCGAGGCAGTTAGTTGATAAATAAATACTAAATAATAAGCTAAAGAGAGGTTAGTCCTTTTTTATTTACACGCAATTGGAAAGACCAATCAAATAATGCAAGTTCGTAGAATCTTCAAAATTAGTCCGTATTTATTCGTATTTATTTCAACTACTACCTATTTAAATTCAAACTTGCATCGTTATTTGATGAGAAAGCCGGTTATAAATAACGTACTAATGTGGTCCTAAATATACACACCTGTTTTCATGCCAATTAAAAAGATTCAGAGACACTGACCTGACCCATTTCTGTCCTCGTGTCAACCGGGTCAATAAAATCCTCGCAATACCATTTTAGACTTTCCTGCACTAACTTAGAGTATATTTTTCTTTATTTTAGTAAAATGCTATAATAGATTCGCGAGACATTTAGCTACGGGAGGTATTGATTCTATGCATTTATGGAAGATTAGACAAAAGATAAAATACATTGTGCTAAAATAAGATCAATTTAATGTATAAATTGATCTTATTTTTAACCGACTTCCTCAAAAAGGAGGAGGTTCTCAATTCGGCTGTATGTTTTTTTATGTTTGTTACCTCAGAACTCCGTCATTTATTAACCGATTTGGACAATTTTTGTTTTATTTGAAAGTGTATACTTCCAGATTGGTCCTATTTAAGTTCCCATTTAAGTCAGTGCCAGCCGATACAAAGCAAAGCACACCGACTTCGAAAATATTTGATTAGGTATGTATAGTAAATGAAAACTACCAATCAGTTATTTTTAACTTTTTAGTGCTTTTGTTTGAAGTCGATTTTTATTTTTTTGTTAAAAAGTTTTATATAAACGTTTTATATTATTACCACCACTATAATGTAATATTGTTAGGGTTAACTAAGTTCTAAGTGATTAATATGAGTTTTAAAACTATTAGAATTTCTTAATATATTCTTTTATAATTTAAGGTAATATAATAATTTATAAATATAGTTATGTATAGACACTAAACTTTTATTTATATGTCCAAATTTTTTTCAACACTAGTGGTTTAAATTATTCGTGGTTATCAAAAATACATATAATATAGTAAATAAAATCCATATTAATATTATAAATGTTAAAGTTTGTGAAGATGGATAGATGTATGGATGTTTGTTACTCTTTCACGCAAAAACTACTACAAGGGTTTTAATGAAACTTTATAAGAATATAGTTCATACATCAGAATAACACATAGAGTACTTTTTATTCCCAAAAAATGTACGGTTCCCGTGGGATAGATTTGTTTTTGTTTTTCTAGAAGCGAACCCGAGCGAAGCGAGTGTGAGCCGCTACTTATAAATAATATAAGAAAATCTATATATTAATGATGATACTAATATTGAAAGCCATGATGATTCTAAAAATGAGGCGCCATTGTAATGACCTGACCTTACGCTATTCTCAGCTCACGATCACGGTCGGACGACCTCAAAGTGACAGAAATATGGAATGTTTACACTGTGTGACTAGTCTGTGTCTGTAAAGGTTGATATTGTTTGCTATTTACTACTACTGCGACTTTACCTATAATATAGGTATTCAGCCCTTTTTAACGTCCCACTGCTGGGCACGGGCCTCCCTTTAATACCAGGGGAATCAGGCCATTGTCTACCACGCTGGCCAAGTGTGGATTGGCGGACTTCACATGTCTCTTGAAAACTTGTTAGCTTCTCAGACATGCAGGTTTCCTCACGATGTTTTCCTTCACCGTAAGACAAGTGGTAATCATGTTGGAAATGATTCGCACATAAAAATATCAGAGGTGCGAGACCCAGGATTTGAACTCGCTTCACTCGGTTTTGCAAGTGAGCACGTTACCACTGGGCTACCACTGCCCAAATAATATAGGAAATTAACAATAATTGATTCACATGTTACGTGAATCAACTAATGTTAATTCGAAAGTACTTTAAAGACAATATATTATTGTCAGTCTTACACTAATTTCCTTATGTTTCATTTTTTTATATATTGTATTATACTGTACGTGATAAAAAATATATAAAATTATTCATTTGCCAAATTTTTATTTATTTTAATTTTATCCTTCTTTACAGGAGTATACCTACTACATACATTTTTAAATTTTCATTTCGATTCGTATTTAAAAATTAAGATTAGTTTTGTAGTTCGGTCATAAATAACTCAAATAGACTCATATAAGTATACTTAGAATCATTAGAGAACTATAATATTGTAAGGGATTCAATCAGAAAAAGAAGTAGGTGATTAAATAAGTAGTACAAGAAATGTTTATCATTACTTTTATTTTCTGTTTTTTTATTGATATTTTTTTCCATATTTTCCTAAATAAAGAATTAAAAAAATAAAAATAAAAACCGACTTTAAAACACTAAAAAGTAAATAATAATAAAATGGCAGTTTTCATTAACTATAGATATCTAAACAGATATTTTGGAAATCGGTACCAGCCGATACAAATCAAAGCACACCGACTTCGAAAATACCTGATCTATAGTTAATGAAAACTCCCATTTAGTTATCATTTACTTTTTAGTGTTTTGAAGTTGGTTATTATTATTTTTTATGTTTTTTTATACTATTTTTAGTGTAGACGTAGTAGTAGAAAAGTAAGAAGAAAGTATTTTGAAAGCAAATGCACGAGTCACTATAAAAAAATATCCAAATCGCTTCTAATGTGCCTATAAAATTTGAAGAGTTCCCTCGATTTCTCGAGGATCCCATCATCAGATCTGATCACCATGAGACCATCTGGGAACTATACCATTTAAAACAAAAAAAAAATTTTCCAATCGGCCCAGACGACTTCGAGTAATCGGGGAACATTCATAAAAAAATAAAAGATTCCGACGAATTGAGAACCTCCTACCACCTTTTATGAAGTCGGCTAAAAAAGTTTATAATTATTAAATTATAACTTCTTACCAAATCATATATGTTTAATTTGAATTATACCTACACTTTATTTATTTAACGTTAGGGAAAGTCATCTTCTAAAGTTAAAATAAAAAAGCCATGTTTCCCATGAATCTAAGTACGTAGATTAACTTCAGACAGATTCAGAAAATTATTAATCTGTATTCATTCTTACTAAGATTGATTTGTTTTATTTTATTAAATATACTTATTCTGATTGGCTAGCCCTAGACTCATCTGGCGAGGTTGGCACATGTAAAGAAATACCACTGTATCCATATCCATTATACTGTTGTGTGTAATGTTATATTAAATGTTAAAAAGAGCGGATAAGCTGCTTTTTCATTTATTATAACATTTAACAAGTATGTGTATGTATATATGATGTAATGTAAGAGCTGATATATCACAATTTGTGCCGGAAATGAAGCGTGGAGTAACTATGTAATAACTAAGCTACCGGCAATCATTCATTACCATTTTACCGACTCCATTAGAGTACTGCATAATATGTTCAATATGTTTGTCGAAACAAATTGTATTTAGTCGCCTATGTTATGTCCAATGGTGTAGGTTTAACGTTAGTTGGCTTTTTTCTTAACCGAATTTAATGTATAAATATTAAATATATATTAATATATTTAATACACAAATATGTATTAATAATATATATAACATATATTTACGAGTATATATAACATAAAAAATAGAAATATTTAACCTCGACAACTATGGCGCATAGTTTGTATCAATAATAAAATAGCCTACAATTTCACAGGTGGCGGTTTTGATTCTCGTTTTAGGTTTATCTACTAGCATTAAGAACCTTAGTTTTAAAGGCAGTTTTATAATAATAAGTAAATAAGTAATGCTTTATAATTTAAAAAAAATATACCAGAGAATACTTATAACATTTTGGTTAAACGTTTTTATTTTCGTGTGACATAGACCAATTCTTATATGTATTTATAATTTTATAGTATAAAACTATTAATTAAAATATAGTTTAATAATATAAGAAAGTTATAGTATAGGTAAGTATCTATAATACAGGTAAATTTTCCTACAAAACAATATCCGCTAATTTCTGACGAATGTACCTACCTACATACATATTATGTAAAGGTTGCTAACTACAATTACAGAGTGTAATTAGGACTAAAATAATTACATTGAAACCTAAACACCTAATAATATTGTAGACTAGCATTGCCCGCGGCTCCGCCCGCGTTCAGATGACCAAAAACCAAATTCTTCGGTTTTACATATTAGTATACTCTTACAATGCAGTTTTTGTATTTTTTCTCAGACATGAGATGTTTTCCCGCGGTAAAAAGTATCCTATATGTTGACCCGGATAACCAGCTATCATCATACCAAATTTCATCAAAATCTGTCCAGTGGTTTTCTCGTGATGCGGTAACAGACAGACAGACAGACAAAAATTCTAAAAACTATAGATTCGGACTTTGTATCGATAATAATGTCTATTTCAATTAGATTTTCCAAAAAATATTTAATGTACAGATTCGGCTTATAAGTTTGAATTTTATTATATGTATAGATTATTAGTGGGCGGTACATACAGATTTCACTGGTATTTATTCAATTATATTTTATTAGACCACGGCCAGCGTAGCTATATAAGTAGGATAGTACACGAGATAACGCTTTTCAGTATGCAACGCGTTGTGTACCTGTTGGTGCTCGCAGTAAGAAATATTGTGTGCAGTGACAATGAGTTACACGAGTACCTTAACAGAACAGATCCCGCGACTCGACAGATTTATGAGTTTGCAAAAGAGCATCCGGTACGTTTAGAAATAAAATTACCTATCAATTTACTTTAATTTACCTTTATCGGTATAGATTTTTCACTAATAGAAAAAAGAAATGATATACAATTCTAAAATTTATAATGTTTATAGACACAGACACGGGTATATGATGAATTATCATGAATAACTTGTGTTTTCTTAGAATTCAGATAATTATAGAACTATAATTATTTTAATCCATCCACGACCGCGGACACGCCGGCGTGTCAGTTTACAATAGATTTCTTAGAATTTTAATTAATTTCTTAGAAATTTTCCTGGAGGTGATATTATAATAATTATTAATGATCTAGTAACTTAATTTTATGTTGATATAATATATTAATAGTCAGTACCTATCTACATTATTATTTTGCATTTTTTACAGAAACCTGTCGGAATACTTACAGTAAGCTCAGGAAAATTTGTCGAAATACGCGAGAGTAATGCATTAAATTCTGATGCATTTTCCAATCCATATCATAATGATCTATTCGCTCACATTCAAACTGAAAGAATCCCTGAGCGAATTGTACATGCTCAAGGTTATGCAGCGTTTGGCTATTTTGAAGTAACCAACGATGTTTCAAAGTATACAAAAGCGGATGTATTTAACGGCGTTGGAAAGAAAACACCAGTAGTTGTTCGATTTTCAACGTTTGCGCAAAATCTAGGAGGAAGTGAGCTTGCTAGAGAAGCAAAAGGTTTTTCTATAAAGTTTTATACGAAAGAAGGAAATTTAGATATCGTAGGCATCAATTTTCCTGTCTTCTCTCATCGAGATCCTGTTGATTTTCCACATTTCATGCATGCTCTAAAGAGAAACCCTAAAACTAATTTATTCGATTTTACGGCTCGTTGGGACTTTGCGACTAAGAAACCAGAACTTATACATGCAACATTATGGCAACTCTCTGATTACGGTATACCAAACGGATGGAGGAAAATGAATGGATACGCTGTTCATACTTATGAAATCAACAATAAGAATGGAGATAAATATTTTGTTAAATTTAATTTTAGATCCGAACAAGGTCTTGAAAACCTTTCAGATGAGGTAGCATTAAATATTTCAAAGCGATTCCCAAGTTATTTTACCAGAGATCTATATAACGCAATAGAAAATAAAAATTATCCTTCATGGACATTAGAAATGGATGTTATGACATTGAATGACATAAAACATCTTGATTATAATCCCTTTGAGCTTACTAGAATATGGAAAAAAGGGACTTATCAGACAGTAGTTATAGGTCGTCTTGTCTTAGACAGAATTCCAGATAATTTCTTTAGAGTTGGTGAACAAAGTGCTTTTAATCCAGGCAACTTAGTACCTGGTATTCCTGGGCCCATGGATACACTCTTCAGATCCAGACGAAAGTCCTATCGAAATTCTCAAATACATCGTTTGACTATAAACTCTAACCGAATGGAAGTAAATAGTCCTCTATACTGGAAGGTGTATAACCGTGATGGACGCCCTCCAGTGAAACACAATATGAAAGATGCACCAAACTATTACCAAAATTCTTTTAATGGTCCAGTTCCATTTATTAATCCCAGTCGACCTAACGAACGTTTTACAGTGTACGAAGCTAACGCTGTTGATTTAGAACCTGCATCATATTTCTACAACCACTACCTAGATCGTGACCAAAGAGAGAGACTTATAAATAATACAATACCTACACTAGCGCCAGTAGCCCCAGAAATACAAAGACGGGTGATACGTCTGTTGACTTTAACAGATCCGCTACTGGGAAGGGAAGTTGCTGATAGGCTGAAACATGCTCAAGTGCTAATACCTCCACTCCGACCTGCACGTGTTCTAAAATATAAGAGACGTAATGCGTTCTAGGGCGTGATAAAAACATATAAATTTGCATTATTTTAAAAGAATGTGATATTCTTCTTTTGAATTTCTTTTTTAATGTTAGTTACATAATCAAATGCGTCATATAGTAACTTAAACTAATATTTTTATATTGAAGATTTATAGAATTACAAATAAGAAATAAATATATAAAATGTTTTTATTTTTATTTTAATTGCTAGTAAATTCCTTTACAAATAATATTTTTATACGAATGAACTCTTATGTGACATTACTATAATAAATTAATGACTACGTTATTAGATAATAATCATTAAAAGAATTTCATAAATAAAAAGTACAGTTTTTCATTGATTTACTAGTTTAGTTAGTTTTTCTCAGATTTACTAATTTTAAACAACGTTATTTTATGTTACTTTAGTGAAATAATGACTCAGTCAGCTATATGTATGTACATTGAACGCCCTCAGGGCTCAGTACGAGAACATGTTTATTTTCAAACAAAGTTTGTACGTGAGGAACATTGTACAAAAATAGAAGAGAATTTCAGACAATCTCCAAAATTAATATATGGGAGTATTCAGATTCAGAGTAATTTAGGTGAATATCACTGTTGGTGATATGCCATTATTAGGTTTTAAAAAAATACACAGATGTCGTGTTTGCCATGTAAACTTCGCATCACAAAGGTAAAACTTCTGAATAACTTCTGAATAATCAGTGATAGGTCACCTCCAATATTTTTTTAAATGTAGCCCAATCTCATATCTGTAGGAGTTTTTTTTATTTTTTCGATATCGCATTTCGTTTTCGAGATATGATTTTTTCTGAAAAAAACGACCACATTTTTCAAATTTTGATAAGAAAAAAAAGTTTTTGAGTTTTTTTATATTTTTTTTTGGTTTTGTAGCCCTCATCGAGACACGTTTTTTGACATTCCAATCAGCCTTGTAGTCTCAAAATGCACGACACCAGGGCGATGTCGTACTTTCGCTGAAAATCGGGCAACTACCAAAAAAAAAGCATTTTCAATGTTAAAAAAGCTACTTTTATTATTTGGCTTGACTCGCCTGACTGTATTTTTAGGTTGTGAATTTGGTTAATTCAGATTTTATATATCTAATTATAGATGTTGGGATTTGTGACGATTGGGCCATGTGCTAAAGTCAGAAGTAAAAATCTCTTTACTTTTCAACATATTTTATAAAGAAAATCACAAATTTAATATTTAAAAAATATAAATAAAATGCTTTTATATAAAAAAGGGAAAAAAATCTATGTAATTTATTAAGCTTACGCAATCTTACTGATTTCATTATAGAAATAAATTAAGTATTTCTTACTTGTATATAAATGTTTAATTTATCTGATTTATATTTTATTTTATTTTTCATCTGGTGTATTCAATTAATTCTTATATATGTTTCATTGCCTAACTATAATTTTATGAACTCAGACTCTTTTAAGTTTAAGCTATTGTTGAAATCGTCACACACTATCTACTTGGGTTATCAATTAATGTTTTTATTTCATCCCACATGCAAGTGTTGTACATCTCTTCTAAAGTCTCTCTTTTCTTTTTTGTTAGCTGCATTATTAATCATCTTTACTTTTTTTCCATATCTAAATTATTCATATCCAATATTTCTAACTAGCAACTCACCCTCGCTTCGCTTCGAGTTCGTCCCTAGATAAAAATAAATCATCCCATGGGAATCGAACATTTTTGCAGATTTAAATTTCATCCAGATCCGTTCAGCCGATCTGGCATTAAAGAGTAACAAACAGCCATCCTCACAAACTTTCATATTTATAATATTAGTATGGATTATTCATTCACTAACGGCTCAACAGATTTAATCTAAATGCAAAATGGATATAACTCATGTCTTAGATTGAATTAATCTATTAACAGCACTATCTACTGTGATCCCTTGTTTGGGGAAGTTACCCAGATCGAAAATGTTTTTCTGCTAAGCTACATAAGTTTATCCCTATATCATCGATCAAAAAAAAAGCGCATTTTAATTTTTTTATGTGAAAACAATTTTAAGCATTGCAATTAAAGTTCAATTTACATTGTTGTATATTTATTTCAACTAGAATAATTACCTAAACACAATTGGTAACAGTTTTAATAGAACTTTTGCATGGGATTGTGTATCTAGTACTTTTTTGATCGATGCCCTACATAGACAAAACTTTATACAGCTGTGCAACGATAGGTATACCACTATATAGGGTTGTGGTGTTTGCGATTTGTTTCGAGCGTTACGCGCTTGCCCTGATATTGTCCACAGTTTGAGCCGGGTAACACTAGTTTTGTCAACGGGCAGCGGGAAGGTAAGTTATTTCGTAGTATGATTTAGTTGTGTGAAGCTTTGTCTATATAAGGATACTTATTCATGTGCTTATGCTGCGGGGGAACCTTTACCAAATATCTCTCTCTGCATCTGAGGTCTGCGGTCAACAGAAGAAAACGATGTGCCTATGTTACTACTTGTATGTTAGCTATCTTAACAAAATATATATTTTACCAATAATTCACTGGATAGTGGGTACTCAAATATGAATGTTATTGTTGCAGGTTATTTATGTTAGCTTAATTTTATATTTTAATGTTAGATTATATTAAATTTCTATTTTAATAAGTATTTCAATTGGATTTTGTAAAAACTATGCTTGACACTTTAGTTGCTGTTTTGACATAAAACGAGTATTATAAAAACCCATGATGTCGTCAGTTGGGGGTCACTCTTCGTTCTGATTTTGTCAAGCATAGTTGGCTTCTGATCATTGTAAATTGGGTGACTGTGAATAAATCGATAATGAACAGTACCGGCAGTGTTTTATTATAACGGAGTTTATCAGTTCAGAAGTGGTCTGTTCTCTACGTTCAAAAAAATATATATATAGCAGGTCAGTATAATTTTCATTTATTATGTTTAAAATATTACTATATATTTATTTAATTATTTTTGTGATTTGTTAGTTAAAACACATTTGTGTTTAAATGTTGACGGCATTATATGAAATATATTTTTTTTAAATAATATTTTAATATTATTTTGCATAATTTAATTACCTAAGTATCGACTTAAATAGGGTAATTGATTATTTAAAATAACATATGAACTAAGACAAATAGGTAAAAGTTTCAGATAATGAGTGACAGAAGCAGCAATTATCGTCGTCAATCGAGACGTAATCGAGAATCTACATCACGCCGCCGTGACTTGATTGAGCAAGATGTGGCTAGAAGAACACGTTCTCCTAGCAGACATCGTTCGAGATCACATCTGCGAACTTCGAGGACTCCTTTTGAAACCAGCTCCACAAGTCGACGATCTTTGGGTGTTCTACATCACAGGAAACGAAGACGAGTCCTGGTAAGTGAGACTTCGGATACTAATAGTGAAGAGGAACTTGAGTTTAGACGCCCCAATTTTTTCGAGAAATACTACACCACAACTTGACACTAGGACCGACAAAGTAGAACCGACATTTACTGCGCAAGAAATAATAAGTTTAATCAAGGCATTACCTTCAACGTCGTCACAAAATCATTTTTCGATGACGTCAAACGCAATTCCTGAATTTAATCCCGCGAACAAAGAACAAACAATAGACACTGGTTAATTAAAGTAGAAGAATGTTTCTAAATTATATAATTGGTCGGAAACTCAATTACTTCATTATAGTCCTGCCTAAATTAACTGGGGTAGCTAAAGTTTGGTACCAGGGTCTACCTTCGGTAAATTATACTTGGAATGAATGGAAAGAAAAATTACATAAAGCCTTTCCAAACCGTTCAAAACTATGCACATCTTTTACATGAAAATGTTGGATAGGAAACCAAAGTATAATGAATCATTAGAAACGTATTTTTATCACAAAATTAATTTATTAAATAGATGTGAAATTTATGGAAAGAAAGCAATAGATTGTATAATTGCCGCAATAGATGACCGTAGTACACGATTAGGGGCCCAAGCCGCAAAATTCTCAGTACCAGAAGATTTGCTAGCTTACTTCAAATCAATCATTCACAAATTTGATGACAACAAAGATAAAAGAATAGTTGCAAGTAAAAACTTCACAAATAATGTTGTTAAAACGCGATCATTTGAAATAAAATGTTTTAACTGTGGTGAAGAAGGACATCCTAGTTTTAAATGTTTAAAGCCTTTGATAACTTGCACAATATGTAAACGCCTAGGTCATTCGGCTCCCAATTGTAAACGTTTACAAGGAAAATTTAATAATGAATTAGATAATGAAGTAATTGATAGTAATGACGATGGTAATGATAAATAAGAAATGAATTAACAATGACATTGGAAATGGACTGGACTTTGGAACTGGATATGGATAATGATAGAGTTTGGTGCACATGAAACCGATAGGTCAACTATGAGTGTACCAAGCTCGCATGATATATAATCTGTTTGCACATGAGGCCGATAAGCCAACTAAGGAGTGCAACAGATTTGATGTATTCTGTGAAATAAAAAGGAAATTGATATTAATTTTTATAGATCTATAATAATTTATTATGTAAATTATTTTTGAATATAGTTAATTATTATCGTTGTCCTCTTATGTTATTAATATATTATACTGTATAATTTTATTAACGAAGGGACTCGTTGATTATAGGATGGCCGAACTGTTAGCTTAATTTTATATTTTAATGTTAGATTATATTAAATTTCTATTTTAATAAGTATTTCAATTGGATTTTGTAAAAACTATGCTTGACACTTTAGTTGCTGTTTTGACATAAAACGAGTATTATAAAAACCCATGATGTCGTCAGTTGGGGGTCACTCTTCGTTCTGATTTTGTCAAGCATAGTTGGCTTCTGATCATTGTAAATTGGGTGACTGTGAATAAATCGATAATGAACAGTACCGGCAGTGTTTTATTATAACGGAGTTTATCAGTTATTTATAATAAATATTAAGAAGAAAACTAACTGTGTTACTTTATTACTAATTATTTTTGTAATTGTAACAGTTACTTAAAATTAATATTTAAATTATTATTTTAAAACTAGTTTTTACTATATCTAATATATGTATTTAAAAAAGTTTATATTAAATTGTAAAAACTTTACTAAGACAATATCTACCTATTATTAAAACGATAAATTACCAAAAAAACTTCAGTTCATTAGAAAATCCTTTATAGATGCGAAAAATATGATAATTTAAATATACACTATTAATTTAAAAAAAATGTTTTTGCTTCTGGCAGATTTCACTTGTAATTGTTCCAATAATTATTTATATTTAATAGAACATGGCCGGTGTAAATAAAGTACTTGGAGCATTAGGAAACGCCTTTTTCATTATGAGGCGCGTCGTATATTATCTTTTTGCAGTCGTAATGAAGAATATTGTGTGCATTGATCATGAATTACATGTATACATGAATGGTACAGATCCTGTGAGTAGACAGCTTCCTGAGTGTGCAAAAGAACAGCCGGTAAGTTAGAAGATATAATGAGTGTATAATGTATGTATGTATGTGTGTATTCAGCCCTTTCTTTTCGTTTCTTAACGTTCCACCGCTGGGTTTCAGGCCTCTATTCAATACGAGGGTGATCTGGTCACAGTATTTTTAAAACAAAGCGAGATATCGAAAAATGTTATTCGTATTTTTTTCATTTCATTTTAAGATCTATAAGAATTCATCGTTAAATTACGGCGCTACAGAAATAAAAATTTTGCCTATCTCTTAATATTTAATGCCAGATAGCGTTAGTCATGTAAATTTTGCATTTTCCATAAAAATGAGAGATTTTGCCGCATTAAGTTATTAAATATGCTACTAAAAGTTTTTGTATGATGATTTATTCATTGAATTTTTCATATGTAAGACTAGTGGGCCGAACTGTTATTGTGTTTTCCATAGGCATGTAAATGGTATCCTAAATATTGACTCAAGTAACCAGTGATCACTACACAAGTTAAAATCCGTTCAGTACTTTTTGAATGAAGTGCACGCAGATACTCGTATATGTACTGACAAACAGACGTGTATACAAACATAACTATTGTTTTGAAGTCTAATATAACAGCCAATACAATGTAACAGTCATTGTTTTAAAAAATATTTTATGTAATTACGAGTATATGTACATGAAAGCATATACATATTATTGTTATTACACATACTCGTAGTTTATCTTTATAAAAAAGCTAATATGGCAATTTGAATCTTACTATGTAGGTAAAGGATTCCTGTTGCTAGTAAACTCAAGTTAGATTTCTCTTGTAATTATAATTATTTGTTAAGTCAATTATGCATACATGGTTACTATATTATATTTTTTATAATAGTCTTTGTAAATAAATTGCTTGATATTGAAATTAATACCTCTTTCGAGTATGGCGCTCCTCGTGTGTTGTCTTTTTGCACTCATACTGCAAAATATTGTGTGTAGTGATAATGAATTATATAAATACGTCAACCAAACAGATCCTGCCACTAAACAGCTTGTTGAATTCGCAAAAGAACACCCGGTATGTTATGTTATAATAATTATAGTGTAAACGTTAAGTATTTTTTTTTACAGTTAAATAGTAATTAATAGCATATATATTATATGAATGTGGTTTTTTTAAATATCTATATTTTAAATTAAATATATGTGTAGTAACTGGAATAATATATTATTTTTTATAACAAGTTGTTCGTTCGTTTCGTGCAAAATAACTAAAATTTTTGAATTTTGATTAATATATATTATATTATCTTTATGAGTGCAATTAAAATATAATCGTATTTTATATTTATTACACTCGCAGATACCAATTGGAATATTGACAACAAGTGCAGGAAGGCCAGTAGAGATTCGTGAAAGTGTTACGTTAAATTCAGATGGGTTTTCCAATCCCTACCACATAGATCTTCTTACACACGCTGATAATGAGAGAATTCCTGAACGAGTTGTGCATGGTAAAGGAGCTGCAGCGTTAGGTTATTTTGTAGTAACGCACGATGTTTCCAAGTATACAAAAGCAGATGTTTTTAATGGCATTGGAAAGAAGACTCCCGTGGTTGGTCGATTTTCAACAGTTGCTCAAAATTTGGGAGGAACCGATCTTGCAAGAGAAGCGAAAGGCTTAGGTGTTAAGTTTTTCACCAGAGAAGGAAATTTGGATTTGTTATTGCTTCATATACCAGTTTTCTTTCATAAAGATCCACTCTTATTTCCCCATTTTGTTCATTCTCTAAAAAAGAATCCCAAAACCAATCTCTTTGATTTTTCTACTCGGTGGGACTTTATTACCAAACATGCCAATGCCTTTCATGCTTTTATGTGGTTATTTTCTGATTTTGGAATACCCAATGGCTATAGAAAAATGGATATATTTCCTATTCATACATATGAAATCAATAATAAACATGGTGAAAGATATTTTGTTAGATTTAATTTTCGAACAGAACAAGGCTTAGAAAATCTACCAGACGATGTAGCGCAAGAGATTTCAGCACGGGACCCTGATTATTATAATCGTGATCTATACAATGCTATCGAGAACAAAAGCTATCCTGCATGGGAATTAGAAATGGATGTTCTGACTTTTGAAAATATAAAAAATCTTGATTATAATCCATTTGATGTTACCAGAGTGTGGAAAAAGGGAACATATATTAGGATGAAAGTCGGTCGTCTTATTTTTAATAAAAATCCTGATAACATGTTTAGAGTGTCTGAATTGAGTGCATTTAATCCAGGTAATTTAGTACCGGGTATACCTGGACCTGTCGATACATTTTTTAGAAGTAGACGTTCATCGTATCGGGAGACACAGCTGTATCGTTTAGGTGCTAACCATAACAGAATAAATGTAAATGTTCCATGGCATTGGAATGTTTACGATCGTGATGGTCCACCACCAGTAAAGGGTAATATGAAAGATGCACCAAACTATTACCCGAATTCTTTTCATGGACCTGTACCATATGTTGATCCAATCCGACCCAAAGAAAGATTTTTAGTGTATGAAGCTAATGTAGTCGATTTAGAGCCTGTAAATTATTTCTTTAATCATATTTTAGATTGTGAACAAAGAGAAAGGCTTCTAAACAATACGATACCTACGTTACTACCAGTTTCTCCAAAGTTACGTAGAAGGGCAATACGTTTGTTTACCTTAAGTGACCCCATATTAGGCAAGAAATTGACAGAAGGACTTGAACGAGCATTGCGAATGCCTCTGCCTCCTTCACCTGAGGTATTAAAGGCTCCGTCATATCAACAAGAAAATCAATAGTTTTACTTGAGTTCAATATGAATTCATAACGTTGCGTCGGATGCATTAATATTAATATACTTGTTAAAAATGCCATTGTAATGAGATGATGATATTAATTTATGTTTAACTTTCAGCAATATTTTTAAAGTATAGTTGTTTATAAGTACAGATTTATGTATTTTCTAAACTCTTAATTTTTGTTAGTGACTATATTCGAAAATTTTGTAACCAACTATTTCAAGATTTTGATTATGATTTTGTTTATCTATTTGATTGTCTGAATTAATCTTAGGAACTTTATAACAGATTTTAGCGAGATCTTAGTATGATTTTAATGGGAGCGGGAGCGAAGTGACAATAGTATCGTAAATTAACACAATACTAAATTCTTATAGTTATTTTTTCGTTTTTTACTTCTATGTAACTTTTTATTGTTGATTAGAAACGTCTGATTAATTATAAAGCAACGAAGTATTTTTTTTACTATGATTGTACTTCATTTTATATTACATATATATTATGATATTTTCATTCCCTTTTATGTATTTGAAAAGTTCGTATCGATACCTAAGGTTTTAGAAATTAAACTAAGAAACAAATTCAATATTGTATGTAATAGGTATATTATGTGCATATACATATCTCCACTGAAAGATGCATGAACGATTTATTCTTATTAACAATTGGTAAATGCAAAGGGACTGCAAAATCTGAATAATCATAAATACTAAGTAAGGGTAAGTGTACTACGAGTATACATAATTTATTGTCACCGATTACAATTTCTTTTCAAAAGTACTTGTAATTTCTACGTTTACCTGTTTTTACATGTAATTAATTTATTAAAAATGGACAAAACTCCTCAACTTTATAAGGAAAGTACGTAAGATATCAACAGTTATTTGATTTTAATGCTATTTTTATACATTTCAGGATCAGCGTGACGGTATTCTCAAATTGCTTAATTATATTTTATACTATGCGACGAACGTTTAGCTTAGTTTGTAGTGACCCTACTTGCTGTGCCAACGGTCGTGGGTTCGAGTCCCGCTGGGGCATTCATTTGTGTGATAAGCACGAATGTTTGTACTCCAGCCTTGGGTGTTTATATCTATAATATTTATGTATTTAAAGGTATATATGTGTAATGTATCTGGTTTCTATAACACAAGCCTCATAGCTTACCATGGAACTAGATGGTGCCGTGTGTTAATGTCCCAACATATTAAGAATATCAGTGCGGGTGCTAATACGAATCGTAACTGCTGAGTACTGCCTATTGAGCAGCGGAGAAGCTTACTTTTTAACTACCACCGACTACTTTAGTTACTCGTTACTCCATGCCATAAACATTATTATAATATGATAGTTGTTTACTTTCAAATATCTATACATACCTATAATAAAACTGTAACTAAACCGAATCTGTAAATTAAGTATTTTTTGGAAAAACTTGTTCAAATAAACATTATTTTCGATACAGAGGCCAAATCTATAGTTTTTAGAATTTTTGTCTATCTGTCTGTCATTCTGTTACCGCATCACAGAAAAACCACTAGAGGGATTTGTATGAAATTTAGTTTGGCGATAGCTGGTTATCCGGGTCAACATATATGATACTTTTTACCGTGGGAAAATATTTCATTTTTGAGAAAAAATACAAAATGTACAATGTAAGAGTATACTAATATGTAAAACCTAAGAATTTGGTTTTTGGCCATCTGAACGCGGGCGGAGCCGGTAATGCTAGTTGTAAATAATATGTATTTACCATTAAAATACTATCAACTGAATATTATTTATGTAGACATAAACATAAAATATACGAATACCTTATGATTAAATTAAAAGATATAATGAAAGGCTGATTGATATAAAAAAATATATTTTGTTTATCTTCTTCTTCGTCACGCTATCTTACATGGATCCATGCCGTGATTAAAATAAAACACAACATAATATTTTTTACATCATAAGCGACATGCTTATTCTATGTTACATCAAAATTAAATAGTAAGAAACTAGTTATTCTACAAGACAATAGATAGGCTTACTAGTTTTTAGCGACTTTAATTTGATTTTAGTGTTGTTTCCTGGTTCGGATGAGATCCTTGAAGTTGCTGATAACAACACTACAAGAAGCAACGTTAGTCGCCCTTTGATAAGTATGTCTTTGTTCTCCTGAAGTTTAAAAGTATTCTTTAAACTAAAGAATCCGGGAAAATAGTAGAATTTAAACGCCTGATTATTTATTAAAGCAATTTTACTAAACTCTTTACGTCGATTTTTCTCCTGAGATATTCGACTTTCAATAAAAAGATCGTTTTCTTTTCATTTCTTTTCATCAATATGCATTTAATGGATGCACAGTAGATTGAAGGGTAATTTTAAATTTAGTCATATTTCTGCAAGGATCTATCATCGATCATCATCAATCGAGTTTTCTGCAAATATCTCGAAAACTTTTAGGTTATTGTATATAATGTTATTTTTAAAAGTTGTAGATTTTTATTCGACCTACAACTTTTGTAGAAAACATGTTTCGATAGAACGTCACAGTAAAACGGAAATTGAAAAAAAATACTATTTTTCAACGCTTTGCGTCCCCCCATTTCTCTATTTCTCGGGGGTAGCTGAGCATCGTGGGCATTTTACGAATTTCTATTCCTTATATACCTGCTAACATTTTAAAATTATAAAACTTCAGGTTTCAATTTTATTTTTCTATTAAAGATAATCAATCGGATTTCGATTGGTCTACTAGAGCGTCGCCGGAAATGAACTTACATTGAAATTAAATTAAATAAAATATTTTAATGAGTGCTGAGAGTGAGAGCTCGGGGCAGGTTAGGCTCCAGTCGCCGGAACCTGAGGCTTTGCTCTTCGCACTTTGCAGAAGGCGCACTCCCTTTCTATGGTGCGCACAGTAGGTCGTAGGTGGATGATCCAGTATCGCTGCCTCAGATCATTGATAAACGGTCTAATGAAAAACAGATAATCAAGTTAACAAAAAAAAAAAAACTCAAAGCTAAAGTTAAATAAGATATGATAAATTTAAAGGACATATAAAAATTAAAAACTGATTAAGGCAAAACAACAAATGTGGCTACAGGGACAATTTTAAAAATATATCTTCTAGAAATATAATACTTTTACATCAGTTATTTTCAAAAAAATAGATGTACCTATGTATGTATAATATGTACGCCTTTGTAAAAAATACATGTGACTAAAATTATATATTTGTAAAATTACTTATTACTAATATCTATAGGATATCTTATAATTTTTCTATTAATTCTTTTTATTACAGGTATTATTTACTTCACAGTTCAGACTAAAAATTTGTTTACAATTCCACTTTCGCCGCCACTAGTTATTGACGATGAAGTAAAGACATATTCTGGTTTTTCACTGAATATTTATATGTATTTCGTTCATACTTACGATTAAACAAGTCTATGTATCTCAATCGATGAATCTTTAATCTATATAAATAATAATGAATCACCGAAATGTATGTACATTGTACATACGCGCATAACTTCGGATCGACTGCTCACTGCACCAAATTGGATAATTCTTTTTTTTGTGTTTTTTATTGTCAGGAAGGTTTGTATAGACGAAAATTAAAAGAATAAAAAAAACTATTTTTTTGTCGGTGGCTTAATCGATTTGGTTGCGGTTTTCACTAATAGATATATTGTGGTAAGCTTCACTGAACATTTAGTTGTTTTATTTTAATCGATTCATAAATAAAATAGTTATGAGAAGCACCTAGGGAGGAAACCGAGCGAAGCGAGGGTGAATCGCTAGTTGAAATATAAGTGTAAATATAATAAAATTTATTATAGCTTTATATTATCTATCTATCTTTATTAATATATGATATAAGCTTTGGATTTATTTAATAAATCAAAAGCTTATAATATATATTAATATCAATAAGTACTATGGCCATTTAGTGGATATTGTAGCTCACTACGGTTGATGTGATGTTGCTTGATCGATATTCACCGTAATAGTGTCACAGGGCTACAATAGATGGCGTTGCAATGTAAATATATATATATATATATATATATATATATAATTATTTCAAATAGAAACTACTCGTTGTTTGACTGTTAGATGTACCTTATAAATTATTTTACGAATGAACTCAAAGTCTTATAAACTTTTGTTAATTATTTTATTTTGATTACAGAATTATTGTGAAACTTTGTTATGTGAAAATTATGTACTTACTAGCAGTGCCCTGCGGTTTTACCCGCTTTAATTTTTTTATTATAAACATCAGTTTTACAATAATGTGTGGAAGTCTGCATGATCTCTTGAACTTTAATGATTACTGCTCCCGGCTCCACTCTCTTGGGTAGTAGCATGATGATATATATACTATATAGCCTTCCTCAATGAGCGGGCTATCTAAGGCAAAAAGATTTTTTCAAATCGAATTAGTAATTCCTGAGATTAGCGCGTTCAAACAAACAAACAAACTCTGTCTATACAATTATAAAATATTTGACTTTCCTACCCATTGACACAACCTAAATAGATTTTTAATAGTTGTTAAGCACTGCAATTCACAACACTTTTCTGGTTATATATTTTCATATACATATTTAAAAAAAAATTGCGGAGTTGCTTCTCAATGTTAGTTGCGCCCTCTCCACCGCCACATATTATATTTATACAAAAAAAAAATTTTTTTTTGAAGTTATACTTCTTTCGGCACGTTTGGCAAAAATTATGAAAGTAAAATTTTTATGATGCACGCGCACACCGGCAGCTAAAAAGCGACATGATGAAGTTAGCTGTTAGGTGATAACTGTCTGTCTATCCGGTTCCCATGAAAACTCATAATTATTTTCAAAATAGTTTTTAAATATTCATAAATCTATAACACGTGTTTTATTTCAGTGGAGATAAAAAAAATATATTTAGTTTTATTAATTTATCCATTCCTTTTACAAACAGACAGTTGTGACATACGGGATGAAATCTTTAGGAAT